TCGCCACAACTAGAGAAAACCTGCACACAGCAACAGACCCAACGCAGCCAAAAAAATTAATTAATTTAAAAAAAATTTTTAAAGGAGAAAGGAAAGAAAAAGCAAACACTTGCAACCCAATGATTAAGACTACAGTTATCTATCCTGGTTGTGGGGTTAATGAATTAATGTTTTGTTAACCTTTAAGGACTGATGTTTTATTTCAAATAAAAATTTTTAATGAGGTTCTTTTTTTTTTTTTTTTTTTTTGCGGTACGCGGGCCTTTTACTTTTGTGGCCTCTCCCGTTGTGGAGCACAGGCTCCGGACGCACAGGCTCAGCGGCCATGGCTCACGGGCCCAGCCACTCCGCGGCATGTGGGATCATCCTGGACTGGGGCACAAACCCACATCCCCTGCATCGGCAGGCAGACTCTCAACCACTGCGCCACCAGGGAAGCCCTGAGGTTCTTTTTGACGTAACTGAACAGCATCAGGGAAAGAGTATGCCAAAACAACTTATTCCTTTTTTTCTTCCCTTTGAACTTATTTATTTTTAGACTATTAAAATGACCAAACCAGGATGAGATACCCAATAAATCTTTATGTCATTATGACTTGGTTTTGATTGCCATTCTCATAAAGCTGCACATAACTGTGACATTTATTTCTTTTTAAGAGAACTTGTAGTCTAGCCAGAATGATCTTTGAAAAATGCAAATTTAAACTCTTGATGAATTACTTTATCTAGATGTTTGATCATCAATGGATGTTATCATAAAAAGACAAACAACCAGGTATTACGTCCCTTCCACTGGAAGTGCACAATACCACCTAAGAAATATTCTTACCAAAAGAAGTAGTTGAATCTCTTTATGATTCTGTATGTAATCACCAATGTATAACTAATATAGAGGTCATGTAACTGTCACCTGGGCCTTTTGGAATGCTTGCTGTTGCATTCCTCTATCTTGGAACCCAGCTGCCATGCTGCAAGATGCTCCAGTACATGGAGAAGCTACATGCAGGCACTTTGGGTGACAACTCCAGCTGAGCTCCCAGCTGATAGTTGTCATTAGTTGACAGCATGTGAACATCCACCTATCTTAGATATCCATCTGACACATGACTACAACTGCATGAGAGACCCCAAATGAGAACTACTCAGCTGATCCCAGTCAACTCACTGAACCAAGAGAGTTAATAATAAATGTTTTGAGATACTAAATTTTGGAATGATTTTTTAAGTAGTCTTATGGACTGAATGTCTCCCCTTCCCGAATTCACATATTAAAACCCTATCCCCCAATCTGATGGTATTAGGAGTTGGGGTATTTGGGCTGAAATTAGGTTTAGATGAGGTCATGAAAGTGGGGTCTCCATGACGGGATTAGTGTTCTCATAAGGCAAGGAAGAGAGACCAGAGCGCCTTCTCTCTCTGCACCACGTGAAGACAGCAAGAAAGCAGCCACCTGCAAGCCAGGAAATAGGTTCTCGCCAGGAACCAAATTTGCTGACACCTTGATCTTGGACTTCCCAGCCTCCAGAATTTTAAGAAACAGATGTCTGCTGTTTAAGCACCCAGTCTGTAATTCCTGTACCTGGATGTCTACTACTTTTCCCAGGTTAGGGAAGTTTTCAGCTACTGTGTCTTCAAATATGTTCTCTACCCTTTTCTCTCTGTCTTCTCCTTCTGGGACTTCTATCATGTGAATGTCAATATGCTTGATGTTGTCCTGAAGGTCTCTTAAACTGTTCTCATTTCTTTTTTTTTTTTTATGTTCAGCATCAGTGATTTCCCTTACTCTTTCTGCCAGTTCCCTGATCTATTCCTCTGTATCCTTTAGTCTACTATTGATTCCTTCTAGTGTATTTTTCATTTCAGTTATTATATTCTTCATCTCTGTTTGGTTGTTCTTTAACTTCTTACTCTGTTCATCCATTCTTCTCCTGAGTTCTTTGATCCTCTTTTTGATCATTACCTTAAATTCTTTCCTGGGTAGATTGCCTGTATCCATTTCACTTAGTTCTTATGAGTTTTATCTTTGTCCTTTGTTTGGAACTTGCTTCTCTGTTGCCTCATTTCACCTAACTTGCTAGTTTGATTTCCATGTATCTGGTATGTTGATTATGTTTCCCAATCTTGAAGAAGTGACCTTTTGTAGGAGATGTCCTATGTATCCCAGCAGCACACTCCCTGTTCATTACCAGAGCTATATGCTCTAGGGTTGCTCCCTATGTGGGCTGTGTGGGTCCTTCTGTTGTGGCAGGCTGGCTACAGTAAGTGGTTTTATAGGCTTGGCTGGTCCCTGGTCTGGTTGGTTGCCAGGCCTTGCTTTGTGTGGAAGCTGTGGGCTCTTGGTTGGCAGGGCTGGGTCGCAAGACAGCTGGATGTGAAACCCTGCAGGGGTCCGAGGCTAGTGCTGGCTCACTGGTGGGTGGAGTTGGGGTCTAGGAGATCCTGGAGATGTTGCTAACCCCCCCGTGAGTGAAGCCGGTTCCTGGGGCTAGTGTTGGCCCACTGACAAAGCTAATCCTGGGGTCTGCCCACAGTGCCCAGGGGTCCCAGAGCTGCTGTCAGACCACTGGTGGGTGGGGCTAGATCCTGACACAGCTGGCTGCAGGGCCCAGTGTGTCCTGAAGCTTGTATTGGCCTTCTAGTGGGGGCGGGCACAGGCTATGGGGCTGCACTTGTCCTGGGCCTGGTGTCCACCTGCTGGTGGGTGAGCCTGGTCCTGAGTCTAGAGCAGGCTCTCTAGTGGATGGGATTATGGATTCTGGGGCTGGTGCCCGCCTACTTAGGAGTCGAGCTGGGTCCCAGGGTCTCTGGCTGCAGAACCATGGGGGTCCTGGGTCTAGTGCCTGTGCACTGCTGTTTGGGGCCTGGCCCTGCATGCTCTGGTGGGCAGGGCCATAACCAGGGGCAGCCGTGGGCTCAGGGGGTCTTAAGGCAGCCTGTCTGCTAGTGGGTGAGGCTGTGTCCCTGCCCAATTATTTCCTTGCCCTGAGCTGTCCCAGTACTGGTGCCTGTAGGATGTTGGGCGGGCATGGGACTAGTCCTGGGGCTAATGGGCTAGAAAGAGGATTCCAGAATGGTACTTGCCAGTACTGGTGTCCACGAGGTAGAATGAGCTCCCCAAAATGGCTGCCGTCAGTGTCTGTGTCACCAGGGTGAACTCTGGTTGCCTCCTGCCTCTCCGGGAGACTCTCCAAGATCAGCAGGTGGGTCTGACCCAGGCTCCATTCAACTCACCGCTTCTGCCCTGCGTCCTGGAGCGTGTGAGATTCTGTGTGTGCCCTTTAAGAATGGAGTCTATTTTCCACAGCTCTCTGGTCTCCCAAAAGTGAGCCCCATTACCCTTCAGCAAATGTTCTGGGCACTCATCTTCCCAACACAGGACTCCTGGGCTGGGCATCCTGATGTGGGGCACCTCACACCTTGGAGAGGACCCCTTCAATTGTAATTATTTTCCTATTGTGGATCACCCATCCAGGACGTATGGGTCTTGACTGTATTATGACTCTGCCACTCCTACCCATTTCCTGTGGTTCCTTCTTTATATCTTTAGTTGTAGATCCTTTCATGTAGGTTCTGGTCTTTTTCATCTATGGTTGTTCTGCAAATAGTTGTGATTTTGGTGTGAGAGAAGGTGAGCTCAATATCTTTATTCTGCCATCTTGGCCGGTCTCATTCTGTCATTACTTGTTTAATGAATTCTGTTCCTTTATTGATCTCTATGGAAATCCTAAGCATTCTTTTTTTTTTGAAGTTTTTCCTGTTACCTATAATTGTTAGTGTATGAATTCATTAGTTTGAGAGGTGAACATTACCTCTTACTGGCTTTTTTATTTGATTGTAAGTCCATCTTAAGCAGCAATGATTGTCTCATGAGAATTCTGCATATCCTGCTTTGTAGAATCCTCCTCGTCAAGATTATTTTGTTTTACCCTCCTAAGTCATAAACTTTTTTTAAAAGCTTTTAATTTTATGTTGGAGTATAGCCGATTAACAATGCTGTGATAGTATCAGGTGCACAGCAAAGCGACTCAGCCATACATATACATGTATCCATTCTCCCACAGACTCCCCCTCCCAGTCATAAACTTTTGAGGTGTTTGTTACACATGGAGATCTAGAATTCATAGGAAACATGAATTAGTATCCTGAACCTGTACAGTAAAGGCTTAAGATTCCTCTTTCTGTATTTGATGTTTTATCCCATCCATATCCCTAAAGCATTTTAAGCACCTAAGATTCCTGTGTCTCTAGGTGATCCTTTTCCGCCTATACTTCTGAAGCAATCTCCCTGCAGCATCTCTAAGACTCATGATAATACTATCTCCACTTAGTGGGTGGTATGGCCTTTCATGGCTTCCAAGGTTAGAGGAGGTGGTCAGCTCCAGTTTTCCAGGTGGGCTCCACTCCCTAACTGATTCCCCGACCTCTAGGGTCATTCAGCTTTAGTTCCTATTTACCTTTCGTGCTTTCTATATCCTCTTTTTTTTTTCAGACTATCATTAGAAATGTCGCTTCCTTCCCTTAAATCTTCATTAGCATTTTCTGTTATTTTTTTCACTATTACTCTGTGTGTTAAATAGGAGGTGGAAATTACCCTGTCAGCCCAGTCTGCCTGATTGTTTAGAAGTCAGTGAGGGTTTTAAATCACCTCCTGCAGTAATTTGTTTACTAGTGGGTAAAACATTAGGTTAGAACCTAAAGGCCAGAATCAGGCATTCAAAATCAAGCATATATTCTGAGCTGGGAAGTGACAAATCTGTTTTCCTTCTCCTCTGTTTGAGAACTTGACATTTGTATTCTCTATGGACATGGTATATTGGTAAATAAGAATGTTACTTATTTGCATACTGTAACTTAGTAATCTTTTGAAATGATGCATTAGTGGTAATTAGTGGTATAAAAGCGTTAATACAGGTTACAAAATGGTCTGACATTCATTTGTTATGGAGGCACACTTTTTTTAAAGTATTAACTTAGAAGCATTATTTTCACTTGCATTTTAGGTCCACATCAGAAAGTAGTAGCCAAACAGATACTGTCAGGTAAGTAAATTAGAAAGGATTTCTTAAAATAAGTATGTGTTAAATAATAAGATGAACAAATTGAATCAACAAGTAATTGCTAAGAATTAATTGAGCAGCAACAATTGATAAGGTACTACACACACAAAAATTCCTCTTAGTATTTGCCAACTTAGTTAAGTAGTGAGTATTTGTCTAAGTAAATCAATGTCTTCTTTTCTTCAGTTTGTTAATGTATGTTGGGAGTTTATTCTGGAGAAACAGAGGAATAAATGATTGGTGAAATGTTTATGGTGCTAACTCATAAATGGGGAAGTTTACTTCTTTAATTGGAGACTCTAGAAATCCAATATGTATGCTCATGAACAACTGAATGAGGGCTTACCCTGGTCACATAGGAAAAATTTGCTGAAGAAAAAGATTGTAAAGGAATAACAATTCTGTGTGTTCCATAGCCTTTCAGTATTACAAAGTAGTTTTAATTAGGTTTTCCATTTCCTGAAAGGTGGATATGTCTGTATAATAATACAATAATTGTTTAGTTTTCTACATCCAACAATTTTGGATGGTGTTATTCTACCTAGGTCCCTCCAAAGTACACTTAGCAGACACACCCAAATCTACAGAGTAAGCTGTCTAGGCTGCACAACAGGGTTGTTTAATTTCTTTTATTCCAGAAGAGGTCTTCCTCTTCCATTACAATGCCTGCTTTTCTTATCCTTTATCTCTCTTTTGACATTATGATCTTCTCCTTTTAGTGACACTTATGGAGTCATGAGTTACTCTCACCAAACTAAAAAAATTGATTTTCATTATTTTGTCCTCTCAATATCAGGGAGTTAACTTATGGTCCTCAAACACAGTTACTTTTTCCTCACCTTGGACGTATGTCTTATTATACTCTGTTATCGTAGAGGATAGGACTGTATAGCCAGCATGTGGCAGAGTTGTTGGTTTATGGTAAGTGCTCAATAAATATTTGTTGAATGAATGCATGATTACTTAATCTTTTCCACACACAGGCAACCAGACCAAAAAAAAATCCACAAACACAAAGGTACATAGACAAATACACACACACACACACACACACACACACACACACACAATCTATCTATAATGTTATAACTGCCCCCTTTTCTCCCTCTCTTATTATATTATCTCTCATCCTGAAACCTTGTCAACATAATTCATCTCTCCTAGGATATTAATTCACCTACATTGGGTAAGGGATGATAGAATTACCCATAGGTAAATGCACATTTCAACTAGAGTAGTATAATTTGGAATGTTAATCCACTGGTCTAGCCTTCAGGCTTGGTATATACCAGGGAAACATTTTTAGGATCATTTTATTCATTTATATTTAAAGAATGTCACTTGACTCTACTGCTATGTTTTACTAACATAACATCCACTATCGTTTTCAGGTCATTTATTTTTGGAATAATCTTTTTCTGGTAGAAAGTCAGTGGGAAAGACTGTTGAGGTCAAAGAATGCAGGGAGGTGGGATGAATCCCAGTATATGTTATATTAGTACCACTTTAGGTCTAATTAATTTTTTAAATATCTAAAATTCAATATTTTCATTCTTCTTCTAAACAACAGAAGAATATTAGATCACCTACACAACTCCCCCTCCATTTGTCAGTTATTATTATTATCATTTTATATTAAATGTGAATACTTACTAGGGTTTAACAACATATTTACCAATTGCTTTGGTCACCATTCATTCTTTTTTTTTAATGGTATTTAACCCTGAATTTTATTTTATTTATTTATTTTAGATTTTTGGCCGCACTGCATGGCTTGCGGGATCTTAGATCCCCATCCAGGGACTGTACCTGGGCCACAGCAGTGAAAACACTGAGTCCCAACCACTGGACTGCCAGGGAACTCCCACTATTCATTCCTGAGTCCGTTTTTTTTTTTTTTTTTTATTTCAATTTCCTTCTTCCTGAAGTACAACGCTTTTAATTTTAGTTTCTGTGATTATAAGCATTTGATATTAAATGTCTGAACATGTCTTTTTCACACTCATCTTTGAAAGGCAACTTAGATGGTTACAGACTTGTGGTTGGGAGTCACTTTCCACAGCTCTTTTAAAGTATTGTGTTGCTGTAATGTGACATTTACTGGCATTGATGAGACCTCAGTTGACAGTCTGATTAACTTATTTATTCCCTTTCAATTAATGTGTTTACTCTAAGTGACTTCTAAGATTTCCTCTGTCCTGAACGTTTTGTTATTTTATTATGATATGTTCTGATAGAATTTGTTTTTATTTACGCTGCTCTGGATTCCATATAGTATTTAGATACCAGCATTCAGGTCATTAATTCTGGGAAAACAATCAGTCATTTCTTTAATTATCACCTCTTTTCCATTCTTTATCTTTTCTGCATCTGAAATGACTATATTTGGGAGAGTCTTCTCACTTTATCCTCCGTAGTTGTTAACCGGGCTGTTCATATGCTATGCTTTTTCATGTCTGTCTCTGCCACTGATTTCTTCATATTAGTTTCCAAATCACCCATTCTCTTAACAGCTATCCTTTTCTTGCCTTACTTCTGCCTGAATCTCTGTGGAGATTCTAAATGTTTCTATTAAAGGTTTTTTATATTATCCATCGATCTCAATATGTGAATTTTTTGTTCTGCTGTGCTGTGCCTGTGGGCACTTAACACACAGTTGTTTGTAATTTAGACTTGTAAGCTCATCCTCAGGGGCAATGATTGTTCTCATGGGAACTCTGCACACCCCGAGTTGTAGAGGCATACGTTAGGAAGAGGGAAATGTTTCAGCTTTCCCTGTCTTGGGGCATGAATGTTTTAATATTTTCTATGCTTGCTAGTTCAAATTTGTGGGTAATGAAATTGAGGAATTGTGGTCCTGCCTCTATAGATGATGGAGGTCTGGGGTCCTGCATCTCTAGGTGATCCTTTTCCATCCACATGGCTGAGACAATTTGCCTATTGCATTCCCAGTGGCCATACCTTTTGTTAACTCCATTCAAGACTACCAGGCTTGGGCTTCACTCTAGCTTTCTAACATCTAAATATCTGTACCCTAAACTCCTACCAAGCTAGGGTTATTAAAATCATATCCCTTAGGGTACAAGTAATTCAGAGTCTCTTGTAGTCATTCAGATTTTGCTCCTGTTTTCTCTCTGAATTTCTAGTTTCTTCATTTTTTACTGACAGACAAAGAGCCTTTTCTGGCTGTCAATCTCAGTTCGGTATTAAATTTTTGCGCTATTATCTTCAGCTTTTCTGCAGAGTAGAAACGGGAAACTTTCCTTGTGGAATAGAAAGGGGAACTTATTCTGTCAGTTAAGTCTGATAGTTTGCCCAGAAGTAAATGTGAATGTTAATTTGCAAAATGTGGCAATTTACTTGTCAACAAATAAAAAGCTAACTTGTAACTGGAAGGCCAAATTTAGGCATTCAGAATCAAACTTATATACTGTGCTTAGAGGTGATAAAGAAAACAATGCATCTCTGCTGTCTTGATACGTTTCCCCACTGGAGGATTTAAATTTTGCACTATGTGTTGCACTTGGTATTGGGTAAATAAGATTGCTACTTATTTTCCTGCCCCAGGTGTTAAAAGAGTTAGTTTTGGTATGAAATGGCTTGATCTTCATTCTTAAAGTAGGCAGTTTTCTTAGTATTAACTTTTGGACATTTTTATTTTTATTTAGATCAAGTTCAGAAAGTAGTTCAAGTTCAAATACCAGCACGTAAGTGACATAAGAAATGTTTCTTATAAGTATATGTTGAAAATAAGAATGAACAAAAGATTGTTTAATATTTTTTGAGCAGCCACAATTGATAAAGTACTACACTAAAAACAACTTATTAATATTTTCCATTCTGGGAATGAGTATTAATTAACTCAGTCTTTTCTTCAGTTTATTAAATTTTTATTGATTGCCTACTCTTTTGATACCTAGGGAAAAACTAGTTGTCTAATGAGAGACAAGATATTTATGATTATTTTGTGAAACTAACTCATAGAGCATTTTTGCATGTTTTATGATGAAATACAAAGGGAAATATTACTTTTTTGTTTAGATTATATTTATACCCACAAACTCAATATGAACAATTGAGTGAATTATTACCCCAATCAGGAGGAGTTTATCTAAGAGACAGTTATCATAAACACACTAAAATTCTACGTTTTCCACATTCCTCACCTCAGTCCAACAGCCCTCAATTGTGTTAATAAGGGTTCTCTGAGTTTTCAGTTTCCCGTGTGGCCTTGTGATCCTTCTGAAGTCATCTAATATATACTGATTTGCTAATCTTCTTTTCTCCCTTGTAGAGTGTTAGTTTTCTTGTCCTGCCTGGCGTTTTTCCTTAAAGTGTCTTCTTTTAGTTACATTCAATCCACTGATATTCCAGAATATCCTTCATACCCACAGGTTGTTTTCAGGCTACACCCCACCACATTATATAGTTTCTATCGTCCCTGATGAAGTCACCCCCTCCATTTGGGAGGCTATTGGCATTTCTCTATCCTTTATTCTGTTGTTTTTGTATGTTTCCTAACATAATTACCTTTTTATAGATATTATTTTCTCCAAACAAAGTATGAAGAAAAAAGCTGATTTTCTTTATTGCCTCCACTCTGTCACCATTACCAGGGGATTTGTGATATAGTGCTCAAGCACTCTAATACTTCCAAACTTCTGCTTACCTAAATAAAGCATTAATTTGCCGATACACTCTGAAATTGCTTGAGGATAATGGCCATGTGTATTTTGCGAACTAATTTGTAGTTAGCACCTAGCAGAGTAAATGCTCAATAAATACTTGCTTAGTGAATGAACATCGCATCCATCTTGAACTTCATATACACACATAACTGACGTTATAACTACTCCAGTTGTCCCCTCACATTCTCTCTCATTATAGAGTATGTCATTTGCACGGTCATCCTCTTCTAGAAGTGGTATTCAAGATTGAGGGATAGTCATCATCCATGGGACAATATATATTGCATTTGAAGAGTGTAATCTGGAGTGTTAACCCATAAGTCTAGCTTGTGTTTAGCATATACCAAAAAAAGCATTCTTGGATTATTATTTATTTTAAATTTAATAAGCTAGGCAGACATAGTTGCTCTGCGTACTGTTATAGCACCCATTATATTTTCTTTTTTCCCTGTTTTAAAAATTTTGAAAGCCAGTGGGAGATGTTGGTAGAACCAACTCCTTGGGTAAACACTACCACGACAAAAAAATTTTTTAAAGCCAGAAATACGACGGGTTATGTATCCAGTAGACTCACAAATCTATATATATAAATCCCTTCATTGGTTTGGGGAGAACTAACTGTATTAAATAGGGGAGTTTCATGGTCAGAATAGTAGGAAAAATCTAGTATAAGTTTTGAAGATATAAAATAGCAGAGGTAGGGAAAGGATAGGAGGGGTAAAATTATGCCACTCTTAGCACTGAATTCTCTCCCTAATCTTACTACCTATATTATCTTCTTTGTCAATTAAACTCAATTAATTTGTCTTCAATATATTCTTTTTCATTCTTTTGGTTGGGGGATCAGAAATAAGAAATCTGTGGATATAAAAACGGAAAAGAGGCTTTAGAATTTGATTTTGACTCTGGTAATAATGAGTATAAAAATAGAAATGTGGCAGATACTTCTTTATTACCACAATTTTGAAGGGAAAGAAGAAGAAACCGCCATAAAAATATATCTTTGTCAGACTGTATTATATCGTGATAAATGCATTATTTCCTTATTTATTTAGCTCCAAGTCACAGAAAAGCAGTGAAACACTTAACAGTAGGCAAGTACATTAGGAAATATCTCGTAAAATAACTTGCTTTAAATTAAAATGAAATTTATAATCCACAACTAATTCCTAAATATTTATTGGTTAGATGAATTCATAAAGTACTGCACCAAAAATAATGTTTTAATCTTTACTAATCTTGTTATTAATGAGTATTTAAATCATTTTTTAAAGACTTTTAGCCTTTTTTCCTCAGTTTAGTAAAATTCTCTTAAGTTTGTTGGGAACTTGCTCTTGTGGACAGAATGGAATTAGAGTTGACTCTAATAAGATATATTATATGTAAATTAGTCTTTTAAATGAATTCATAATCAAGCCACTTTATCCAGTAGGCACTGTAGCCAAAATGTTTAAGGCCTATGAGTTTCCAAGTGCCGAAACCAAAACACTTTACCATATGAAAAAATTTAAAAATGACTGGCTGCAAGATATGGAAAAAGTAAAATTGATATGTATTTAAATTTCTAAAAACATACAAAGATTTGACTTGTTATATTCAAGAACATTTCATTGCATGTGGAAAAAATATTAGATTTTCTCATTTGCAAGTACTTCTGATTAAATACGATGGTTTCCCAAAAATCACAATTGATAGTAAATAAGTTACTCACAGCTAAATAATTTCACAAGCAAAATTGTAAAAATTCTTCTAGAATTCTTTTTCTTTTTCCATATGAATTTTTCACTTGGCAGTATGCCAACTGTATGTTTTGCAGTGGGAGGTAATGTATTTGTTATACCTAAGTACCTAAGCACATGTGTCTTTGTTCTCTTCCACAGTAACTAATAATTCCTTCAGAAGGCAATGGATATTACTGGGGATCTCACTGAGAAATGAAAATGCAGCCTTTTCTCCCCTGGTCACAACTGAAGGAAGCAATAAACCAAGATGGACCGATTTGCAGGAGCGTCTGTTTTTATTTCCTTCTCCACCCCTGAGGCGCGGTTTTGCCATTTCAGGGCCCTTGACTGCAGACAGTCAGTCACAACTCCCACTGACTCCCTGAGCTCTTCTCCACAGCTCTCTCCACCACCCACTCGGATTTACTGCCTGGGGCCCCAGATGCTGGGGATCTGCATCAACTGCTCTCACTCAGGAAGGGATCTGGGCACGGACTGTGTTCCTTCTCCGGGTCCTTCTCACTGGACTCGGCTGGCTGCACGCAGATCTCAGTTAATGCAGTCATTTGACCACCTCACCCTCCCCACAACCACAGAACCAGGGCTTCTCAGGGAAGCTGTGCTCCTTCTGGGGACTGTGCTTTACCTTCCAGGCCTCTCCCTCTGATTACCACCTTTCTCTTGCCCCTCGGCTGGGTGACCTGCAGGGTGAATCCCAGAAGGCAGAAGGACCCAGAGAGCTTGGGCTTGGGTCTCAGGGGCAAAGATTAATCCCTTATCAGAGTTTGGTATGAAGATTGATAAACCGAGTTAGGAAAAATATCATTTTCCATTTTCTCAAAGAGTGTATAAAATTGCTCAGTTTTTCAATTAAATATTTGGCCAAATTCATCAATGGAGCTAGAGTTTTCTTTGTCGGAAGATTTTAAATTATGGATTCAATTTCTTTTAACAGATAAGGGACTATTTAGATTTTCCATTCGGGTGATATTTTTTTCACAAGTTGTATTTTTAAAGGGGTTTATTTGATTTAGTTTTAATTAATTTGGTAGTGTATATATATGTCCATGCCATACTCTCACTTTGTCCCAGCATACCCTGCCCCCTCCCCGTGTCCTCAAGTCCATTTATATATGTGTTAGCGTATGGTATTTGTTTTTCTCTTTCTGTCTGACTTCACTCTGTATGACAGTCTCTAGGTCCATCCATCTCACTACAAATAACTCAATTTCGTTTCTTTTTATGGCCAGTGTTTTTTAAATTGGAGTGTTAAAAGGATTTACATTTAATATAATTTCTGATACTGTTGGTTTTAAAAAGTCTATCATTTTGTTACGTGTCCTCTATTTGTCCCACATTTCTTTGTTCTTTTGGGGGTTTTTTTCCCCTCTGTTTTTCTTTTAGGTTAATTGAGCAATAAACTACTTTTTCTTTTCTATGGTTTTTAGCTGTCCTTTTTTATATCATTAACACTTTTTGGTAGCTGTTCCAGAGGTTACAATGTGTATCCTTAATTCATCACAGTCTACCTTGAATTAGTATTTTCCTACTTAACAAAAAACAAAAGAACTTTACAACAGCATGGTTCCTGTTACCTCCTCCTGCCCTTGGTGCTACTACATTTAATTCTACATATTTTATAAATTCCATGTATACATTGCTGTTTTTTTCACCTGAAGCAGTCAATAGTGTTTTCAAAATTTTTATATGGCTTTTTATATTTACCCACATGTTTACCCTTTCTGTTGCTCTTCATTTCTTCTTATAATCTGTGCTTTCATACGGGATCACTTCCCTCAGCTTGGATAACCTTCTCTAGTATTGCAGTGTGCTTCTGATGGTGACAATTTCTTTCATCTTTTTTTTTTCTGCTTGAAAAATTTTTTTATTTTCTTTTCAACGAGATACAATTATTGCACACAGAATTCTAAATTGCCATTTTTTCCCTTTCAGCAGTATTTAATCTATTATCTTCTGGGTTTCATTATTTTTGATGAGAATTCAGTTATTATTCTTTTTGGTATACTGGATTGTAATGTGTCTCCTCACACACCCAGGCACTCCTAAGATATTTTTCCATGTCTTTGGTTTTTGGAAGTTTGATCATGATATGCTTAAGGGTGTTTTTCTTTGAATTTACCCTAACTTGTATTCAAGTAACTTCTTGGATCTATTACTTAATGTCTTTCAACAATTTTGGAAAATTCTCAGCCATTAAGTATGTCTTCATATCTTTCTTTTGACCCATTCTCTTTTTTCCCTTAGGGAACTCCAGTTACACATTTTCCTGATTATTAGATACTGTCTCATAAATCTTTGAAGTTCTGTTTTGTTTTTTAAATTATTTTTCCTATTTTAATTCAGTTTGGATAATTTCTGATGCCCTATCTTAAGCTCACTGATTCCTTCTGCTGTGTCCAATCTTCTGTAACCTCATCCAATGATTTTTTTAAGTCTTAGAATTTCCATTTGGTTCTTCTTTTAGTTTCCCTTCTTCTGTTGAAATTATTGACTTTAAATCCTTTTTGTCTATTTTGTTCTTCACATGCTGTAACATGTTTACGACAGTTATTTTAAAGTTCTGATCTACCAAATCAAATACTCCCATTTTAATGTGCTTGATACATGCCCTTGGATATGTGTTGTTTGGTATGTGTTTTTATCATGATAATGTCCTACATATTTGATGCATTCTTTTTTACTATTTTCAATCAATACTGATGTTTGTAATATTTAATTCACGTGGGTATATACATATTAATATAAAATGCATTATTTATAATATTTATAAATATATATTTATAAAATATTTCATTCAAACTGCTACACAGTATTTCATATTGTACATCTATTAAAATTTTTCTCCATTTTCTTTAGTGATTAATGAGTAAGTTGCTTACAGCTCCCACTATCACAGATGATACTGCTGACAGCCTTGTACATGTTCCTGATAGTTCTTTGCAAGAGTTTCTCTGGAGTATTTTTTATGTACAGATGGATGTATGTTGGCTAATTATTCTGTCATGTGATCACCACTACATCCAATAAATAGCATGTTTCCATCACTCCACAGAAATTCCCTTGTTCTTGTTTGCAGTCAGTCCTTCCTCCACCTTTAGTCCCAAGGTAACCAATGATCTCTTTCTGTCAATATAGTCTTGCCTTTCACAGTATTTCATATACATGACATCATGTATATGAGGGCTTTAAGCTGTCTGCAGATCCATAGCTTTCAGAGTTCCCTTCTCCTTTAATTTCCAGTTTCTTTGACAGCCCCAGGTTTTGACCTTTGAAACCTCAAGCCAGAAAGCTCCTACTTTCTGCCGCCTGAGCCTGTGTGAAGGCTGGGGAGTAAATTGAGTCAAAAGTGCAGAACACTCACACATCCCACCAAGAGCAGTTCTGCCCTTTTTAAGAGTAGACCGCCATCTTATTTCTTTTTTGTTTGCCTTTTTTTGTTTTGTTTTGTTTTTTGAGGCAAGGAATATGACTTTATTTGGAAAGCCCACAGACTGAGAAGATGGCAGACTAAAGTCTTAAAATAACCATCTTCAACCCCTATCCTTCTGTTGGTTTTTTTTTGCCAGGCTTCCTGGGGTCTTTCGCATACATACCTAGTTTAGTGGTCAGCCAGGGATTTAGATGAGTTTATTCTCAAATTTTGGATCTCAGCCTTTCTCTTGCTTCCAGAATTTCCTGCTTTATATTTTCTTTTTTAAAATAAAAATTATATATATTTAAGATGTACAACATGATAATTTGATATACATATACACTTGACTATTACTACAGTCAAGCTAACTAACATATCCATCTCCTCACACAGGTACCAATCTCTTTTGGGTGGTGAGAGCACCTGAAATCTAGTCTCTAAGCAAATTTCCAGTCTTTGTTATAGAATTACTAACTTTGGTCATCATGTTGTATATTAGATTTCTAGATTTACTCCTCCAGCATAACTGCAACTTTGTACCTCTTGACCAACATTTCCCCATTTCCCACACCCTCCAACCCTAGTAACCACCAGTCTACTTTCTGCTTCTATATATTTTAGGTTTCACATATAAGTGAGATTATACAGTATTTATCTTTCTGTGTCTTATCTCACTGAGCAAATGTCCTCTAGGTTCATCCATGTTGTCACAAATAACAGGTTTTCCATGTTTTTCATGGCTGAGTAATTATATCACATTTTCTTTATCCATTCATCCTTTATGGACACAGGTTGTTTCCATATCTTGGCTATTGTGAACAATGCTGCAAAGAACATGGGTGTGCAGATATGTCTTTGAGATACTGATTTCATTTACTTCTGATATATGCCCAGAGGTAGGATTGCTGGATCATATGGTGTTCTATTTTTAATTTTGAGGAACTGCCATATTGTTTTCCATAATGGCTGTACCAGTTTATATTCTCTCTCACAGTGTACCACAGTTCCAATGTCTCCACACACATACTGGGTGATACTTGTTCTCTTTATCTTTTCGGTAATAGCCAACAAATTGGGTATACAGAAGGACCATACCTCATCATAGTAAAGCCATATATGACAAGACTACAGTTAATATACTCAACAGTGAAAAGCTGAAAGTTTTCCTCTGTGATCAGGAACAAGACAAAGGTGTCCACTCTCACCACTCTTAAGTACTGGAAGTCCTAGCTAGAACAATCAGGAAATATGAAGTAATAAAAGGCATCCAAATCAGAAAGGAAGAAGTAAAGTTGTCTTTATTTGTAGATATGACTTTATACAAGAAAATTCTAAAGACTCAACCAAAGAACTGATCAACAAATCCAACAAAGTTGCAAGATATAAAATCAACATACAGAAATCAGTTGCATTTCTACATACTAAAAATGACATAGCTGAGAAAAAAGTAATCTCATTCACAATGCATTAAAACAATAAAATAATTAGGAATAAATTTACTAAGGGAAGTGAAAGATCTGCACAAAGAAAACTGTAAGACTTTAATGAAAGCAATTGAAGAAGACATGAATAAATGGAAAGATATCCCATGTCTATGGACTGGAAGAATTAACATTTGTTAAAATGTCCATACTACCCAAAGCTATCTATAGATTCAATGCAATCTCTATCAAAATTCCAATGGCATTTTTCATAGGAACAGAAAAAACCTAAAATTTGTATGGAACCACAAAAGACCACAAGTAACCAAAGCAATCCCTAGTAAGAAGAACAAAGCTGGAGATATCACACTTCCTGATTTCAAGCTATATGACAAAGCT